TTTACACAATATTTAGGTATCAATCAAAACAAACCATGAATTTGGCTGATACGCATGGTATTTTTTAATGTGCAATAACTAATTCTTTGAGTTTCAAAGAAGTCTTTATAGTTCCGATACAGTAACATAAAAAGCTTTGGATCTCTTCTGCACTGTCCTGACTGCAATCTTGACTTTTTTGACCACACACTCACAAAATGTTGCCCCCCCCCCCCGGGGTCATATGATCCTGATTCAGGATGATGTCAATCTGTTCACACAACTGACTGCCAAGCACCCCACAATTATATAATATCCATTTGCAATATTCTCTGCTGACTTCCTTAGCTCAGTGGGGAAGCCGGTTGGGAAGGTTCATGCTATTGCTTGCTTGTTGAGATGACTTCCTTTTGTCTCTGGGGGCTGGCTGAAAGAGGGAGGGCTGAAACTCTCTGACAGGCAGCCCGCTTATTCTGAAAGAGTTACTTGCCAAAGGGTATCAGCTCTTTTGTTCCATCCACTTAATGACTCAGGAGATTGCTTAATGACCAGAACTGGGAGTGCCAGAATTGTGGTTGTTGGATGAAGCAATCTTATGACATATTGCTAACGACCGTGTTGCTTTCAAAAGACTGAGATTCTGATCACAATTGTGGTCAGAAATCAAGAACCACCTGTAATCTGATTCAAGCATTTACCTGTATGGGAAATTCCCCAGAAACATATGCGGATTGCCTGCAGTTTCATTACAGAAGATATAATTTTCAATTGCATATATATTGAGTGCTAGGTATAATTTGAATTTTTCACAACACCCCCATTTGCCATTCCAGTGTTCCCCAAGGGCCTTCTCCAGGGAGGAAGATGTTTCATTTGTCGCCAGCTGAATCCAGTCAGCCCTGCCTCACCAACAGGCATCCCAGTTGATCCCCCATCCTTCCTCTTTCCACATGCAATAAAAGCTTATGCTGCTTCACCTCCTCTTAAGAGAGCCCTGGTGAAGCCTCCTCCTTTTCCTCAGCTGCCCCGTGGAATGCCTACCACTTTATTGTAGGGAAGGGATACCAAGGGAGATACAGACCACAAGGAAAATTGCATCCTCCATCACTCTGCCCTGTCCCCAAGGGAGTCCTCCCTCCAGGGAGGAAAGTGACTCACCTGACTGCCAGTGCCCCCAGCCATCCCTACCTTGCCAGCAGGTATCCAAGTTGCTCCCTCATTGTTCCTTCACCAGTCACCATCCTTAAAAGATTACAAATTTCAGCCTTGGTTCCAAAGCAGCCAATGGCTTCTCACTTAGTCAAACTTTGCTACCAGCTGATTAGGTGCAGGAGCCAGAAGAGGAAGGAAAGTGGACAGGGATATCCTTACACTACACAACCTACAGGGATATCCTTACACTTACACAACCTACAGGTTTCTGAGAAGTGTAGTTGGATAGAATGGTGATGCTGGAGCCAAATCCCACGTTAAGTCATGAGTCCTGAATTTTGGATGCATTCCATAAATTAGCCCATTTGAGGTAAATTGATTCAAAAATTGTTGCTCTATGATGTATTACTTCACCCAATCGACAATTACAAAATATCAAAGAGACACAAGAATTTTAGTAGCATACTTAACAACCCGTGACTTGTTGGGTCATCCTTTCAGAAATAGAGTAAAGAATAAGAGTAAATAGAATAAGACAGTGACCATGGGTAGGCCAAAAAGCAGTGAGAATGGGAATAACTTCTGACTTCCTGATAGCTTCCTGATTGACGTTGCTTGTGGGAAGCTGACAGGGAGCATCAGAAATCACTCATTCTCCTCCGCAGTTCCAACCAGGGAACTACTTGTCACTTTGCTGGGGAAAGACAAACAAAAGGAGGTGGTGACCATGAAGTAAACTGCACACATACTCATCATCCCAGTGTGTACCCAAGGGCCCCTTCCCTTCAGGGGAAAAAAGGACTTACCTGTTGACTGCTGGCACACCCAGTCAGCCCTATTTCACCAGTAGACATCCAAATTGCTTTCTTCTTTCTTTCCCTTATTGCCCACTGCCATTAAAATATAGGTAATACTCAACTTTCAACAATTCATTTAGTGACTGTTCAAAATTACAACAACACTGAAAAAAGTGACTTATGCCCATCTTTCACACTTACAACTGTTGCAGCATCCCCATGGTCATGTGATCAAAATTCGGATGCTTGGCAACCGGTATTTATAACAGTTGCTGTGTCTTGGGGTCAGGTGATCAGCTTTTGCAACCTCCTGACAAGCAAAGTCAATGGGGAAGCCAGATTCACTTAACAACCATGTTAGTAATTTAACAACTGTAATGATTCACTTGACAATTATGGCAAGAAAGGTTATAAAATGGGGCAAAACTTACTTACCCAACAACCTAAATTTTGGGCTCAATTGTGGTGGTAAGTTGAGGACTATCTGTATTTGAAATATCAGCTTCGATTCCAAAGCAGACAATCCCTGCTGACCTCTTAGTTGAGGAGGTGAGGTGGATAAGGGGATAGGGATACACCCCTCCACTCCCTTGCACCACAGAACCTATGGATTTTTGGGAAGTGTAGTTGAAAGGTGTGATGGAGCTGAAGAGGCCACAACTTTGCCAAATTTCTCTCCTGTAGCAGTCATAGTTGCCAGATTTTGGGTGGATTCTTTAAGTTAGCCATTTGAAGTATATTGATTCAAAAACTGTTGCCCTATAACACACCATTACACCTAATTGTAGATTACATTTGAAGGTTTCAAAATATCAAACAGATACAAGAGTTTTAGTAGTATATAGATAGGCAGATTGCAGCAGGATGAAATAAGCCCTTTTTTTTGGTCCTCCAAGAATGTTTCTTGACATATATTGTAATGCCTGTAGATGTATCTGGCAAAATTAACTCACAAGAACAAGAAAAAGGAGGTGAAGTAAAGGGAAATTTATGTTCTAGTCCCTGTGTGTATTAATACCTTCTGGAAGTAGTCGGCTTGACAGATCTGCTTTCTGCCTCTCCCTTTGCTTTCCCCTCATGACTGTGACTCATTCTTAAGCATTCTAGAGAATTCATTTCCTCTTTGGTGCAAGATGGATTAGTTTTAACCTATTTGGACTGTGCATCGGTTTTCAGGGTGAAAGTGCATGTTTTTGTGTAGCTTTTGTCTAAAAGGGAATTCAGATGTGTGATGACAAACAATAGTTAATGAGAAAGTATCAGAGGTCACATAAGCTATTCAACAAGGAAAAATTAGTTACTACTTTAGACTGCATTATATTCTAGTCCACCTCTTTATAAAACTTACTAACATGATAGTGAAAGGTCTCTATGATTCTAAAGTGAACTCAGCCAATAATCCCTCAGAGAATAAGCAGAAATAAGAAATATGGAGACAGCAATATTTTCCTCCAATAAATATGCCCTTTGTGTTCACACAACCTCTTCGTATCTCATATTTCAAAAACAAATCATGACTAGTCATCTATACTATATAAAATGGGGAATTTCTCTTATACCATCTAGAAGGAATATTTTGACTAACACTAGACCTTGTTTTCTTTGATAAATAATTATTCATATCCCCAAAATACATTGGTCACTAAACTGATGCACATATAGATTGAGAGGGCAAGGAAGCACATATATTCTCATTCCCTTGATGAAATACAACTGAACCCTACTTGATCCTCAATGGCTCCCCTGCATATTGTGACTCACAGATGTCTGTGCAACAAGCAGTGTTTTAATATAGCTGCACTTGCAGGCAAGTGTTCACTCACCATCAGACTTCCACTAATAAAGGCTATATCCTGATGCCACTGGCACTTCCTCTGTAAATTCATGTTTGGGCAGATTATTGGCGAAACTGGGTATATTCAAGTAAGAGGGAAAAACCTGGAAATTTACCAATATCCAAATAAACATTTGCCCTTGCTTGCCTTCTTGGCCACCACAAAGCAGATGTTCAAGGAGAATCCCCTCCAGGTGATTTTTTTTTTCTGAAGCAAGGAATTATCTTTGAATCAACCAACTAAATAGCTTGTTTGCATAAACCTCAACTCTGCTCCCAGGTTGGCTTAATTATTTCAAAAAAGTCTGATTTAATCTTGGCAGAATCTGTATTTCTGAAATATATTTCTGCTCAATGTGTTCTAATAAAACAGATTTAAGAATGACAATAATTCCCAACTAAAAGCATACTGTCCCCTACATTTGCTATTAAGGATTATAAAACATGCTCTACTAATGCAGCATAGTATATGTTTCAAATAATTGAAAGAACAGAACAAAAAGTAACTTACAAGTAAGAACAAAAATAACCTTCAAAGTTTGCAAACATAAACAAAAATAGTTTCATCATTTTATATTCAAGTACAAATGAAAAACCTCTATAAAAATGTATTTACATATGGTTTCTAAAACTGTTTTGGTTAGGATGCAAGACACATGATGATCGACTAGTCAGTCTCCAAATATATTGTCCAGTCTTTAAGTCTGAATTTATTACCCATGGCTACCCGTTTATCAATCTTATTGACTTTTCCCAGCAGGCAGCTTGCAGAAATGTGCTCTTTTCACTCTATCATTATCAATTATTTGTTATGTGTTGCCATCCCAGATTTCTTATTTCTGTATTAAAAAAAACTTCAGCTGAATTTAATAAACTTTAATGCCCAGGTTATTTGGGGAAGAACTCAGGACCCATTGTTAAGACAGATGCTATTCCATAGAAGTAAGTATACTGTATAAGAAGCATAAATACTGAACGGGTAACTAAGTTCTATTTCAGAAGCTTCTGTAGCAAACTGAGATTATATCAAAGTAACAGCACATGTGAGATAATGTCATAATACAAATCAAGTCCTTACATATAAGCAATTTCTGATGCAAATTGCAGTTTTTGTGGTCACTGTAATCACATACATTTTATCATTTCACCTCTTTGGTCATCAATGTTGTAATTATAAGTGAATAACCCTGAAACATCAGGAATTCCTCCAAGGAGGAAAAAAACAACCTTTATCTTACCACTTTTTCCTTATAAACAATGTACTTCAGCCACTTGAAATCCTGCCACTTGAATCCTGCCAGTACAAACAGGGAATCCTTCTCATACTGCTCAGGTTTCTGGATAGCCCCTTCTGGATACGTTATCCGCATTGTTGTCTTGCCACCAACATCTTTTTCAAAGCCTTTCACTGGAGCAGAATTCAACCTTCCGGGAGATTAGAGAAAAATGATGAATTGTATTTATATTAGAGTTCAAGGTTTTGTGTAACAAAAATCAATGTCAGGAACTCCAGTTCAGTAAAAATTGCAAAGGCATCACACTCAAATTATTGAGGATTATTGCTGCCAATAAAGCAGTAAGCAGTAAATAAAGCAAAAATCAGAACTGGCTGATAGGGCCATTAGTTTACACTATAAATGATCTATTCTTTGGAGGCAAGATATGTGATTATATGTTGTATGGAGAAAGTATTAATATTGGCAAAATAAGTTTATTTTTTATTTAGTTATATTTCACATTCTTGAACTGCCATCCCCCTGAAAGAGGGACTCTGGGCAATGTATAATAAAACTTCAAAATATGAAACATATATAAGGATTAAAATGTTAGAATTAAAAATTTTAAATGGTATAAAAATTTTAAGGAGGCAATAATTAAACCTTGTTAAAATCATGTTATTTCTTGAGTCTTCAATTAAACCAAAGAAGAAGAACAAATTCCTTTAGCAATTTGATACTTCCCATATTTTCCAGCTTACTACAAACAAAACGTGAGAAAAATACTCATTTAAAGATACCAGGCGCACTATTTTTTAATTAAGTTATACAAAGGAATTTCTAGAATCTCTTCTCATTTCTGCATATTATTTTTGCACTTCTTTTTTACAACATAGAAGTTGCTGCTAAAAAGGTTTTTTCTGTACTAAATTTTTAGTGTTATGATTTAATCAAAGTTTTTCATAGAATTGCAGTGTGTTAGAGGTACAGTGTTCAGATAGATAGATAGATAGATAGATAGATAGATAGATAGATAGATAGATAGATAGATAGATAGATAGATAGATAGATAGATAGATAGATAGATAGATAGACAGACAGACAAATACAGCTGAAATGACCTCCTTGAGCAGTTCTATAATTGTCATGTCAATTTATCAACTGGTACCCTACTGTCATAAGTGAAAAAACAATACAACTTTGAGTGGCCAGGATTTAATTTATCTAAAAGTTACACTGAGTATTTTCTATAAATGGAATTCTGGAATATAATCTCTGGAAATAATGAGGTTCACTTGTATCATTACTGCTCTATATTAAAACAAACAAATTGCAGGTCAGGTACAAAAACATTAAATTCAAGATCACATCAAAGGCAAAAGTGTTGTGACATACACTTCAGAAGATAGCTATTTCTATCTTCCTTGCCAAGAATCCCATTTTGAAATAATTTTGGAAAAGAGTTTCTTTCATTTGAGAGCGTAGGAAAAGCCTTGAAGCCTTATCCTTTTATTACCTTCTAAGCTGTTCCTAATCCTCAGCAGGAGTTGTGTAGTAAACAAATTTGGTGTAGGAAAGCTGGGCCTTTTAACCCTTTAATCATTCCTTCTGCTCTGAGCTGAGTGAGTGGTTGAGGGTTGGACACGACTGATGAGGAAGATATTCTGAGCAAAGTGGGAAAACAGGATTGTGGCTTCCACAAAATCTCACTTCCTTATGAACTGCATGCACCCCTGCAGCAACTGCTCCTTAGGATTAACAATTACATGTATAATGCAATATCTTCAACAGCATGTTGGCTATCAATTATGCCTAATTTTAAGTAAAATAGGTTAATACATCCTGGTTGGGAATTTGGGAAGCTTGAAATTGATCATATCTGGCAGGCACCAGATTAGGAAGCTGAACTAATATGAGAATGATGTAATTAGGATTGTTTCAATAAATATAAAATAATGGAGTCTAATCAAAGGGTCATTTCAAATGCTGAAGAAAGAACCAAGTATTCAAACATTGAATAATGGATGGCTGTTATTTTTGTTAATTTCACCTTTTCTGCCATTTATAGTATTATAAATGACAGCTGCACATTGGTCATCTAGGTGACTATACATACACACACACACACACACACACACACGTTTCCCCAAAAGTAAGACCTACCCTGAAAGCAAACCCTAGCTTGATTTTGGGGGGCAAGCCTAATATAAGCCCTACCCCAAAAATAAGCCCTAGTTTTGGGACAAGGCACATGCCGCAGCCAGATGTCCCACGCCCCAACACTTGTCACGCCACGTGGCTCATCACGGCAGTACTGCCGCTCATGGTAGGAAACCGCGCGCTTCGGTCTGTTTCCGACGCTTTGGGCCGGTGGCAACAGTCTGAAGCGCCGCGTGGCGTTCTGCCACGAGCAACGGCAGCAGCATGAAGCACCATGTGTCCTCCTTCCACGAGCAGCAGAAACGCCCTGAAGTGCTGTGCAGCTTCCCTGCCACAAGCAGCAGCAACTGCATGAAGCACCATGCGGCTTCCTGCTATGAGCAGCGGAAACAGTCTGAAGCACCATGCAACTTCATGCCATGAGCGGCAGCAACAGTGTGAAGCACCATATGGCCTCCTGCTGCGAGCAGTGGAAACAACGCAATGCACCACATGGTGTCCGGCCACAAGTGGCGGCAAGCGGCTGCTGAAGAATTCAAGCAGTGGCGCAACAGGTGTCGGGGCGTGGGAGGCCTGGCTGAGGCAGTCCTAATGTAAGACATCCCTCCAAAATAAGACCTATTGCCTCTTTTGGAGACAAAAAATATATAACATCGGGTCTTTTTATATATAGGGCCCATACACTATTTCCTCTTCTCTTTTGCTGAAACAACTCACCTAATAACAATGTCATAGTCATCAATTTTCAAGCCCAGAGATTTGTTTGCTAGAATGCCACCATTTCCCACAATTATACATCGTCGGCAGCTAAGACTGAAAAGGAAATAGAAGAGCAATTGGTTAGACAGCAAAATGCATAGGCACAGTAGTATTTCTGGTCCAGATCTGAGCCAGTCTCTCCTAAAAGAATCAGAAAGTAGTTAATTTGCAATTAAGAGAATGACCCTTAATAGTAATACAGTGATGGTATTGGTATTGGAAGATGATAGACATAAGGTTAAGAACATGTTGTGGAAATTGGTTGGCCCTCTTCTGCTTTAATCTAATTTAAAACTTAGTTTATGATCTTTTCCACAGTTAGCCCTTGGCCATGTCTTTGTTTATAACTGAGCTCTTCCATCTCCTTGTGGCAATACAAGTAGTCCTTGACTTACAACTGTTTGTTTGGGCCTGAAAAAAGTGACTTATGACCATTTCTCACACATGTTGCAGCATTCCCATGGTCACGGGATCAAAATTTGGATGCTTGGCAACTGGTTCGTATTTATGATGGTTGCAGTATCCTACGGTCATGTGATCATGTTTTGTGACCTTCTGACAAGCAAAGTCAATGGGGAAGCCAGATTCACTTAACAACTGTGTTACTAACTTAACAACTGTAGTGACTCACTTAACAACTGTGGAAAGAAGGGTCGTAAAATAGAACAAAACTCACTTAAAAAATGTCTTGCTTAGCAATGTAAATTTTGGGCTCAATTGTGGTTGCAAGTCGAGGACTACCTCTAATAGGATCAATTTGGTTTCTGTGTACTCCAAGGGTGTCATTTTGCAACATTTTGCAAAATTTACAGGAGTGTCAAAGTTACTTTCAACTGATTGTAGCTTGTCAAGGATACCAATAAAAGAGAATATTTGTAGTTCAGGGTTGAAATGAGGGGTCCTTGGTGCTCTTTGAGCTTGGTTGTTTTCTTGCAGACGTTTCATTATCCAAACTAGGTAATACCATCAGTGCTAATGATGATGATACCTAGTTAGGGTAATGAAATATCTGCAAGAAAATAACAGAACTCAGAGTGCACCAAGGACTCCTCATGTCAAGGATACAATGTTTTTCTTGGCAATGGACTGCTAGAGATCAAATGTAAAGAATACTGTAAATTACTATAAAGAATAATCTACACTTCAAAAGAAGTACAGAGTGGTGGAATATAATTTAGGTTTCTAGTTAACTTGTTTTTTTTCTATATATTTTACCTACTCATGTAGAATAATATACTTTGTGGAGTTAGGGATACTAATATTAGTTTACCTATATCTGAATATTATCCTGGGATTAGGTTTGGGAAGTCCGGGGGGTGGGCGGGTGGGGGGTGGGGTTTTTTTCATATAGCATTGTGAAATACCTGTGATGTTTTTTTTATGATGAAAATAATAAAAATTTTATATTGAAAAAAAAAAGAATAATCTACACTTGATCTGTAGCAATGGATTGTTAGTATATTTGAATTAATCTTTTTTTACAGATCTGGACAAATGTTCTGATTTCCCCCTCCTCCTCATCTGTATATCATTAATATTTTCTCTCAACACAGAGACACCTACTTTGTTTAACAAAACATAAAGTAAGAAAGGAGGAACTGAAATACTGTAAGATGAATATAAATTAAGATAGTCCATATGCCATGTATACCTTCCGTACACAAGGATTATTCCACACCAAAATTTGGCAGCAAAATGTTTGAAATCTGGTGATGATTTTTTGCTCTGTAATACCAATTCTGCCACAATCCCTGACAAAAGGACACAAATTTCCCAAAAGAGTGATTTCAGACTGTGTCACGGGGTTTGAGAAGAACTGGAAATTAAGTGGCTTTCTTTCTTGAAGGTCTTCTATTCCCATTCCCATTCTTAAAATCTGCTACCCTGCCTACAAAACGACTTGCCTTCTGCAACTGTACTGAAGATCAGATGGCTGGATTGCAGTCCCTGATCTGTCAAATATTGCCTGTACCTGCCATAAATATAAAGATGTGTAGAAAAACTTTGTAATTAGTCTTAAAAGAGTATTACCATAGAGCAAAAAGTACAAAATAACAGTAGACTTGCCAATTACAAAGGTATCGTTACATAAAACAAAACCATTAGGAATATTTGGGAACAACTAAGGTAGTGCCTGAATTTGCATCTTGTACGTTACTAAGTCTCAATTTTGTGCTGTAATTTCTTTTTATTGAGTACATCATTAATTTATTTAATTGTATGCTGCCTTATCAATTACCCCAGGAAGCTTACGCCCATAAAAATAATAAGGCATAGAATTAAAATCACATTAATAAAAGCATAATCACTACCCTCCCTATCTAACATTGCCACCAATGAAATGGAACTCCCTTCTGAAAAGCACTGCCTTAATGGATTTATTGAGTACAACGGAGAGGAAGGCAGTGTGTTCCATACTGAGGCTATCATGAGGCGACAATCCGTTTCTAGTTCCTATCCTCTTAGTGTGATTTATCTTATCCCTATCTCTCAGTCAAAACGTTTCTTCAATTTTAGGATGAGAAAGTGGTTTTACTTCAATCCCACAAGTGGAAAAAGTTGAAAACAACATTTGATTAAAATTATCTGACCGTAGAACAGGGATTAGCAACCTACAGTTCATGGGTTGGATGTGACCCATTATCCAAAGTGATCCAGCTCACAATCCCAATAAAAATATGCCCACCTGAACCATGAGAGAGGCGGAGAGAGCAACTACCTGTTCAGCTGCTCATGTGAGCCCTCTCCACATCCATGGCTACGAAGTCATTTTGGTGATGATTTCACTAGCCACCCTTAGTTCAAATGGAGCCACAAGTCCTCTGCCTGGACCAGTGAGAATGAATGGTGAGGCGGAGAAGGGAAGAGGAAATGGTGATAGTGGCATAGCCTCTGATCCTAACCAAGGGAAAGTTGCAATTCCTGTCCTGTAGTAATAACCTCTCAATGTAATGAATTAATAGAAAGAAAATCCATATATCCATTAGATGTGAAATGGATTTTTTGCATTTGTGAAATAACCTAATTTGATTTTGATTTTGATTTTGATTTTATTAGATTTATACCCCGCCCTTCTCCTGGCGGACCCAGGGCGGCTTACAGCAAGCTAAAAACATAACAACTCTACAAACACCGTTTTAAAAATATAATTAAAAGAAATATTAATTTTGCCGTTTCATTTAAAATTTTGTTAACACCCAATATAAAATCAAATTAAAATCCAATCTAAAATACCCCTCAGGCCAGCCCCGCTAGCTGGAATAGCCATGTCTTGAGGGCGCGGCGGAAGGAGGGGAGATCCGGAATGACCCGGATCTC